TACCACTGTATCTGATTGGGGGTGGACTTTGGTAACACAGTGGTACCTCTAATTATGAACTTAATTTGTTCTGGACGTCCGTTCTTAACTTGAAAATGCTCTTAACTAGAGGTGTGCTTTCGCTAATGGGGCCTCTTGCTGCCGCTGCACCGCTGGCACACAATTTCCATTCTCATCCTGGGGCAAAGTTCTCAACACGAGGTAACTCTTCCAGATGAGCACAGTTTGTAACCTGAAGCATTTGTAACCTGAGGCGTTTAACTCAAGGTACCACTGTATGGCGCTCTGAGTGAGCCCAAAATTTGGTGCTCCCAAGTGGATGTTATCAGTTGCGGATCTTTTCAATTTTGCACCCCTTTGCCTTGGCACCCTGTGGGGTGGGGGAGATGCCAGCACCACCCTAAATCTGATCTTCTCTGATCGGCTTTCCATCAGGGAAATAATTGGTGGCTAGATGCACAGATTCTTAAGCATTTGCATAAGGTTAAAACAGCGGTTACATGCACATTTGTGTGCAGTATGTCATAATTGCATTGTATTTTTTTAATTGGAAAGCGCTTATCTTTTTTAATTAAAAAGCCTTTCATATAAAGCAGGTAATGAAGATAGAGAGCTAATAGGTGTGTGGTGGCTGTCCAGTGTTTTTTTCCCTCACTCGGCACCACATGAATGACTCTCTGCCGGCTGGGAAGAAATGCAATGTTCTCCTGGCTCTTAGGGTTAATTCCCATGAGACTTACATGGCTGACTTGGAGAACAGGCAGGAAGGCACATAGATAAGACTTTCAGGGATGTGGAGGAGCTGCTCTACTACCATACAGATAACTCCTCTGCTGTGATAGAAAATGAGAGTCTCGTGTTGGAAGAATATAATAGGCAAGAACATGAGAATGGCTTGCTGGGTCATGTCAATAGCCCAAGAAGGAGCCGAGTACAACAGCACTCTCCCCACTTGTGATTCCCAACAACTGGAGTGGAAGTAGAATGCAGCCATCATGACTAAGTAGCCATTGGCAACCCTATCCTCCACGAGTTTGTCTAGATCTTCTTTTAAAGCATCCCAAATTGGTGCCCATCGCTGTTTCTTGTGGGTGTGGATGAACTACGTGCTGTGTGAACATGTATTTTCTTTTCTCTGTCCTGAACCTTCCTACATTCAGCTTCAATTGGTGTCCGTGAATTCCAGAGCTATGAGAGAGGGAGAACAAAATGATCCCTTGAAGGGGACCTATTTTGAGGGTGATTAAATACCTTTCACACCAAGGATATTCTTTTAGGGCTTGAAAGTTTATCTTTGGTTTGAAAGGATGCCTGTGCTTTAAAGGTTGTTGCAACGATGGGCATGAATTCTGGTTTGTGTTCTGGTGAATGGACCTGAGACAGGCATAGGCTCCCTCAGTTTGATGGTGTTCGAATCTTCTTTGTCCTACTTCCCTAGACCCTAAGCACCTTACATCTTCACATCTCTCTGTGTCCCAGAACCCCTGGCAGGAAACTAAAGTGCTGCACATTTAATCGGGGAGCATCCATTTCTTTTTTTTTTAGCTACCATCTGCCTGTTCCTAAATTATTTTTATGATTATGTTGTAGACTAGCACATTCTCCAAATCTGAATCAGCCAGTTTTCAATTACAGAGCAATTGAAATGAAATGTTGAGTGCTAACAAAATGGGTGGTAGACTTGGAGCTATAAAGGGTGTGTGTCTAAGGAATAGCTCAAATGATTTGGAAACCAGGTTAATCTCAGAATAAGCTGAGCTCAAATGGGTAAGTGGTTCTGGAGGCACAGGTAGCCTCAGTGACTGGAAGTGCCTTTTCCCGGCTGCAACTGGTGCAAAAGTGATGCAAAGGTCATTCCATGGATGAGGAGAGCATGGCCACAGAGGTTCAGGCATTGGTGTCTTCAAGATTGGATTGCTGCAATGCATCCCCTTATGCTTGATTTGGAAGCAGCAGTTATTGCAAAATGCTGCAGCCTGGTTTCTGACAGAAGTCACACCCTGTCAGCATATAACACATCTGCATAGATTTCTGCACTTAGATTGCCCATTTGCTACCTGGGCAGGTTCAAGATGTTACAGTTAGTATTAAAAGAAACACCCTCAATGTATTGGGACCAGTTTACCTGCAGAATTTTCCTAGCCCATATGCATCCCCTCAACCACTTCAACCTATGGAACTGACGCAAGTACAGGTGCCACATATACCTTGTTCCACTCTTCTAGGAAATCAATCTTTTTAGTGTGGCAGCACCTTCACTTGGGTTCTCCCTGCCTACTGACATCGGGCAGGTGCCTTCACTGTATTCTTTTTGATGCCTGCTTAAAACGTTTTTGCTTATTCAAGCCTATCCAGGCATGTAGAACTTACAGCAGTCAGAAGTTTAAAAAGAAATTCAAAGTTAGATATAACTACTGTTGCTTTTACTCTTCTTGAATGTTTCAAAGTGTCTCTTTTTATTGGTTATTTTATATTTTTGAAGCTGTTCAGAGGTTTTCTTACAACCATATTAGATAAATCAGGTTTCGGGTTGTGTGCAATGAACAAGTGAAGTACTTTTCATTATCCCAACCCATGATTATAGCCAAGTGAGCTTTGTAAATTCACAACTTAGATTCAGGGCAGTGGAGCCAAAGAAAAGGTTGTGAAGAGGAGTTGGATACTCCTTATTTGTTTAAACCAAGCAACATTTTAATTATTCAATTTATCATTCAAATTTGCATTTTAGACATAACATGTTGCTATGATTTGTATGCTGCATTAATGGCAATAAAAATAGTTAGATCAGTCTATTTCTGCTTTAATGCATATGATTGTGATAGTTTTAGCTATTTGTTATGGTTGTGCAAATGATGGAGGAAAATACTATACTTTGTTTATCTCAGTTCTGCCAACTGCTGTGACAGTCAGAAGTAGGGATTTATTTAATTTTTTTAAGTATTTCAACTGCTGTTCATGCTTCCTGGCATATGCACCACTTGATTAATTCATCATAGCTGGAAGTCTTAGCTCTTTCATGAGTAGCACCTTTTGAAACACTTTTCTTTCATCCTTCCTGGAATTTGGTGACAGTATGCAAAGATCAGCAGTTCTGTCGTATGCTGCAGGGCAACAGAAAGACTTTGCGCTTTTCCATTAGTCTTGCCCTCTTTGAAATCTGAATATTCTGAAACTGTGCTAGCTTCTCTGTTAGATACAAAATTGCATATTGATGCGCCTGGCCACCTTTTCATCCTTTCTGTTCATAGTTTTGTTGGGGTTTTTTTTTGCAAATGAATTGCTTCTCATCTCTTTTTCCAGCTGAATCAATGCAGCTCTCCATGTGTTGCCTTTCAGTTAGGTCTACTATTTTCTGTGCATGTACATGAGCAAATGATTTGGAGTGCTCAGATATCTTCTTTTGGAGTGGTTTAAACTGCGCTTTCCTTGAAGTTCCATTGTATTCAACAGAACTTGCACACCATTAAACTGAAACATTGTGTTTTCAGTGTTCCTAAATGCTTTCCTTTGGAGCCGCCAAAACAACTTCTCGGTTTTCTTCCTGAGCACCTTCTTCAGACTGACCTTAGGAGCCAATCCTCAGCAGCTGACTTACCTCCTTTCACTCTGAATAGCTCAAATCAGCAGAAAGGGTGAGAAGACTCCTTTCTCAATAGCTAAAAAGCTGCCCCTTTGTGCTGTTTGGGCTCCTCCAGGATGCAGGAGACAGGCACCTTGGAGAAATTGCAGGCATTTTGCCTCCTGTAACCCCAGACCACTACACCTCTGGGGCAGGCAAGGCAGGCAGCCACTAGTCTCCTATCACAAGCACACACCCCAAACCTCTGTTGTCTTCATTCCAGGTAACACTAATTCTTCCCTGTGCCTCTTTTCCTGGAACTATGAGGCATGGAACAATTGCCACAGAAAAGAGGAGTGAAAGACTCTCCTCCCTGGAAGAGAGGGGAGTGGTTGTGGGCGGGAGCCCGAGCACCGCCCCTAGCAGGGGGCATTAGCCCCCTGCCTCCTCCTCTCACCTGGCTGGCGCCCACGCCCCCCTCGGCAGGCATCCAACCAGGTGCCTTCGAGGGGGCGTGTTCAGCAGCCTTTTGCGGCGGTGCCAGCCTCTCCTCGGCCTCATTCTTCTCCGTCCTCTTGTCGCGAGTCACCCACCCTCCACTCCCTTTTAGCTCAGGGTCTTTGTTCTTTGGCCTTGCTATGGACCTTAGGTTGGTTGCCCTGGTTGTCTAGGGGGCCTGGTAGGAATTTTTCCATTTGGCATTAGGCTTTTGGTTTTTTTCGCCTACCTCGTAGCAATCGTCACAACTTTTTGTGGTATTGGTGGGTAGGTTAGGCATTGGAATAATGTGTTGTGGTGTGTCGAAGGGCTGGGTGTGGCCATCGCCTATGCCTTCAATTTTTGGGTATTCCGTTAAAGGAATCTGGCGGTCGTGTACTCTGTCCGATGCCTGCTTGGCGGGAGGCCATGGCACGACCCCCGGTGACATCAGGGGAGAGCCTATAGTTGGATTAGCATCAACAGGCTCCACCTACTGGTGAATAAACCACCTTGTTTTAGACATCCAATGCCTAAGCCAATACCTTTTCACTGCTGTAATCAATAAAGTTGTGGCCTTTTCTTGCCCATTAACCTTATATCACGTGTCCTTGTGTATTTATTTCACATCGCGGGGGTCGGGTCCTCGAACCACAACATTACATTTTGTTGGAAAGGTCTGGGGCCCTGCCTTGTAGCCAACAGCAATCTGAAGACAAAATCGTAAAGAGAAAAATTAGTCCCTAAATGAATGGTGCAACAAGACTTTTTAAAGTGTTGGTCCTTGCTGGGAGGGTGATCAGTTCAGGCAGTGAAATGAGCAAACTTAGTTCAGAATTGTCCCTGGCACAATCTTGCCAATGATGTAGAGCATAAAGTGGGGTTGATGTTTGGCATAGAAGTTTAGCATGTTGGCAACAAGTAGCTGTTTTCAGTCTTTCTATAACTTAGCACGTCTCAATGACTTTTTTAATGACCCTTTTAACATGGTTTCCCTTCCAAATACTAACAAGGTCTGACCCTACTTAGCTTCTGAAATCAGATGAGGTTGAGCGTGTTCAGGGTAGTATGGCCATAGACCCCTTTTAACATTGCTGAAATAAACTTAATTGCTTATTTAATCAATATATATTTATTGCACAGTAAAAAGCGCTATTTTAAAAATCCAGATCTACAGTATAGTCAACTCACTTCGAAAAAACATTAAAACAGCAAGCAATAATTATCACCTCTCCAATCTAATAGCTCATCATTCAGAACTTATGGCTGAATCTTAGCTTTGACCAATGTTATATTTATGTCACTCTTCAAAAGAGCAGCATGAATTTTTCTGACCAATTGACTGTTCACAATGATCTGGAATCTAATTAGTGACAGCTGGATTTATTTCTCAGTTGAGGTTAAAGGTAAGAGATACTGAAATGCTATATCAATTTTAAAAAATCTGTTTTAAATTTAAAGATGGAATATGGCTACTGATATAATAGTTTTGAACTGCAGTGGGACTTCAGTGCACTTATAACCTAAGGACACAATCTGGAATGTAATAAATCATAGTTTAAGCCCATAAAAATGAATGGGATTTGGCAAGCTAGAATATTTTATTATTTCCTTAATAGTAACTGTTTCTTGTGTTATTTGTTCCATAGTAATTTGACTCCATTTTTTTAAAACCATTTTTTGTTTTAATAGTAACAACTTTGCTGGGGTTTAGGGTCAGTTACCCACAGTCTGTGGATAGCAGCATTCCTTCCCCCCCCCATCCTGTTCCTTGTCCCTCACTCTCTGACCACTGAGGGTCCTTTACCTTCAAAGTGCTTCTAAATATTTATTGAAAGCTGCAAGGTAATTTCGGCAAAGTACCGTATCTATTGAAATGCATATAGGAAATAAAGTACGGCACACTATCAAGAGCTGTTTCCGTAACAGTAGTTCCCAAAACCCTGCTGAAATAAGACAGTCCTTACCTGCGAGCAGAAGGACAGCAAGGAGGAAGCCAGAGAAGCCTCTCTAGGAAAGGAGTTCCAATGCCTGAAAGCAGCCACCAAGAAGGCCCTCTTCTGCGTCCCCACCAAAAATGCATGTCACGGTCTGGTTCACAGGCCATCGAAGTCCCGGCAGGGGATGTCAGGACCGCGGGCAAGATGGCGGGGTGGGAGCAGGAACAGGGGTCCAGAAGCCAGGAGTCAGGAAACCAAAAGTCCAAGGGTCAGAGAGCCGGGAGTCAAGAAGCCAAGGGTCAGGAAGCAAGGAGTCACAAAATCAGGGGTCTGAGGATCAAGAAGCAAGGAGTCAAGAAGCTGAGGTTCAAGGATCAGGAAGCAAGAAGCCCAAGACAGGAAGCGTGTTGTTGTGGCAAAGAGCTGAACGGAAATGCTGACCTTATATCCCTTCCCAGCTCTTGCCACCAGGTGCTGTGAGTTACCAATCGGCCTATTGAGTTACCTGTGAGTTACCAATCTGTGAGGCTGCCCCTTGCCTCTTCAGAACAAACTTAGGAAGGCCCCAGTCCTGCAAAGTCCTATTGGTCACAGGGCCTGGCTCCTGCACGCACCCCTGACAATGCATGTGAAGGTGGTAGGACTGAGAGAAGGGCCTCCCCCAAAGATCTCTGAGTCTTGGCAGGTTTTCATGGGAGTATATGGTCCTTCCAATAGCCTGGGACTAAGCCAAATAGATTCACAACCATCATTTTGTATTGTGCCCAGAAACAGACTAGTAGCCAGAGAAGTTGTTGTAACAAGGGAGTTGTGTGCTCCATGCAACCAGTGTTGGCTAACAGATTTTCAAAGGGATGTCACGGAGGAATAAGCACAGCTAGTGAACTAGCTTTAACTATACAAATGCACTCTTGGCCACTGCAGAAACCCGGGTATCTAGGTTCAGGGCAGAATCGTGGAGCACACCGAAACTGTAAACCTCTGGCTTTTCACAGGGAGTGTAACTCCACCCAGCACAGGCTGAATCCCTGTTCTGTCTGGATTGAGTTTCAGTTTGTTCACACTCATCCAAATGACAGGCACTCGTTTAGAACTGAGACAGCTTTCTTGGATTTAGCTGGAAAGGAGAAATATTGTGTCTGCAAGGAAAAGCTGTGGCTTGTTGGAGGGTGAATGATAACCAGCTACAATAGGATTGGTACTTACTAGAACAGGCATGGCCTAACTTGGCCCTCCAGATGTTTTGGGACTACAACTCCCATCATCCCTAGCTAACAGGAGCAGTTGTCAGGGATGATGGGAATTGTAGTCCCCAAACATCTGGAGGGCAAAGTTTGGCCGTGCCTGGACCAGAAGGACAGCTGGGGGCACTTGTATGAATCATTCAAACCAGATATTAGTAACAGTACAGAAAGGCTCCTGCCTTATTAAGAGGCAAATATCTGCAACATCGGAGTCTTTTTCAGCAATTCTAATGAGAGTGTAAATTTTAGGCAATCAACCCATGTGAGATTGACCATTCCCTTTCATAAAGTGCAATTTTTCATTTCATTTCATTTACTTAAATTGGTTGCTGACAGATTACCATTTCCACATGGAGAAGATGTGTGAGCAGTTATTTGCAGGAGTTGTGGATATTTTCTTGAAGCTATTATAAACATTCGGACTGATACATTTATCCAAATAACAGCTCTTATCCCTGCATCAATGCTATTACCATGGATGCAGTGACTGCAGAAAGCCATGTTAAGCCATGTTACCCCACAGCAAACATTCCTTCCCCCCCTTTTCATTTTTTGCCATTTAAGACATTTGAAAAAGACACACAGTGCAACACCATATGCAACATTCACAAAACTCTTGCCATTTTTGTGTTTTTATATTGTAAAACTCCCTGCAGTCCTCGGGTGAAGGGCAGAATGATGATAATGATGATGATGGTGTTCGGAGATGTTTCAAAATTAAAATATTCCTCTTGGAAACCTGGGGCCCAAGCCCAGTACTCTCAGCAAGTAAATCCGAAAGAAATCCCACAGAACTGCTAATTAGCTGTTACCATTCCAGATGTTCATTTGCATGCTTGTCTTGAACCACAAGTCAACCTGCAGAATTAAAGGCTGAAGCAAGGAGTTCAAGAATGCTAGGCTAGAAGCTCTTCGTGTTAGCTTCACACATGAAGCACGTTCTTGATGCGGTAGAGCATTCATATGTGCTATTCTACCACAGATGCTTTGAGATGATGCAGCCTTGTAAGGCTCTTACACACTGAATAGGGGTCAAAATTGGTCTATAATGTAAGTAGGTTTTCCTGAATGGGCATTGATGCACAATGTATTGTAAACAGTGATTTGTTGTTGCTTTCATATAAAACCAAGTGCTTTCATACAAGTTTATTTAGATTGCTTACCTGTATTGTTTTGATGTTTAGGAGCATTAAATCAAACAAACTGGGGGAAGAAACATCCAGCTTGCAATGGTGCCAAGCAATCGCCTATTAATATTGATGAGGATCTTACTCGAGTAAATGTGAATCTTAAGGAGCTAAAATTCCAAGGCTGGGAAAAAGAATCGGCAGAAGAAACTTTAATCTACAATACAGGCAAAACAGGTACAAATTTCACATCTCCTTTTTTTGATTTATTTAATGTTTTGATTTAACCTTTTGCACTTAAGTATTTTAAAACCTCTTGTTTCGTTTTCTTTCTTTTAATCATCTTCAAGTTTGGGTTTTTGCAATTACGAGGAAGACAGCTGGCAGTAAGATTCAAGCATCAAGTCAAGAGGACTCAAAGGGAAATTATATGCATTGACAAAAATAGCCCTAGAAATAGCATAATTACTGTAATCCATTAATGCGTGCTTACTGAAAATAAAGATTTAAGTATTTTCCACATAATAATTATTGACTGTTAATACCTACACTTGACACGCTGCTATGCTAATGTTTTCACAACTACACAGCTAGTGTTTTCAAAGAGCAATTTATAAAGGCTATTATGTTTGAGCAATCATTTTATAAGAACCCCTCACTTATGTGTAGGACTGGAATTTCAAAGAGAAGCCATTACTAATTGAGCAGCTGCTGCCAGCTACAAAGGTTTACACATAGGTTTACTATGGAAAAGCGCTAGTGAACCACCTGAATTGAGATCTGGAGGAGGCTGTCTACTGCAGCTTGCTGTCTGTCTGAATGTGCAGTGTATCGTTCTTCTAGATTTTCCAGGAGAGTTGCGATATCTTGCACAGTCTTGGATATAAATAAATTGCCCTGCAAGCTACGTAAAGGGGGCTTTGAACTGTTTCTCAGGCAGCAATTTCCATGCTGCATTACCTGATAACACATCACATTGGAAACTGAAAGGTATTTCCAAAACAATTTGTAGAATGCCATTGGGGTTCTGTTGATCAAAGGACAAAAATGGAAAGTCCTGCTGGGCATGCTTAAGCTATTGGGTGCACCAAAAAATATCTCTTGATCCCAGACACAGAATTCCTTACATTTATGTTAATAATGCTTTTAATAGTTAAACTTTGGGTAGATTGACTCAATGTATTTAAGGCACATCCACCACACATTTAAAGCACATGACTTTCCCCAAAGCTTCCTGCAGTTTGTTAAGGGTGACTGGAAAGTCTAGCTCTGTGAGTTCCTCATATTCTTTGGGGGAAGTCATGTGCTTTGGATGAGCTTTGAATGTATAGTCGTACCTTGGATCTCAAATGCCTTGGTTCCCGAACAAATCGGCTCCCAAACTATTGAAACCCGGAAGTGAGTGTTTTCAAATGGTTTTCAAGCGTTCTTTTGGAACCCGAACATCCAACGCAGGTTCCGTGGGTTCCAAATAGCTGCAGGAGCTTCCTGCAGCCAATCAGAAGCTGCATTTTGGTTTCCAAATGTTTTGGAAGTCGAACGGACTTCCGGAATGGATTCCGTTTGACTTCGAGGTACGACTCTATGTTGGTGATCTGTCCTCATTTTACAATGCTAAATTGTTTTCTCTTCCATCCTACAAGAATACTATGTGAAACTATATAACTATGAAACAATGGCATTTGGATTGTTTTTCCTCTTAGAGGGATTTTCAAACAACTTTTGAAAGAAACAATAAATTTGTGCTGTTGCTCATATTTATATTTGCT